TCTAACCCGCATATATAATATCTATCTATCTATATATATATATATATATATATATTCTAACCCGCACATCCGTACCTCTCGCCTGCCCGGTGGGTCTAGCCCCCATTCGATTCCTCAATCCCTGCACTCGCGCAGTGCCCCAGGGATTGCCAAGTGCTGCAGAACCAGCTCCACTCGTTCTACCACCACCCTGTCTATTGATAGCGCCGGCATATCCTTCCATACCCCCCTCTACCAGGCCTTCTTCGTCAAGCGCTTGTGCATGCATCATCTCATCTGCTAACATAACTGGATTGGCATGTCCGCCTGCTAGGAAGCCATCTATAGCACTAGCTAGGTCCCAGTTGTAGACTGTAAGAGTGCGTGTGCATTTAACATCGTCTGTTTCATGAGTGATCTCTTTAAAGGTCTTGAGTAGCTCTTGTTGCTGAGCGTCGGTTGTTGTGGCAGCCATTGTGTGTGTTACGTGTGTGCGTACGCGACACAGTGTATAAAAGAATATGGTGATGTGTGTATGTGTACGTGTTGTAAATGGTGCTCTCTTATTTATGTTCATGTACTATGTATAATATGCTTGTACCAAGTACTATGCTTTCCGAACTATCTGAATATGCGCACCAAGTCTTTGTCACACCAGAAAATACTAGTGCGTGTAGGCAGTAATGAAGTAGTAACACTTCCTGAGTCTCGCCTATACTTAGGCAAGCCGTATGCTAAACGCTATAGCTAATGGATGTATGTTGGAACTTCGCAGCAGCCATCAATGGGGTATATCAACAGTGTACAGCCTCTTTTAAGGGATTGTAGTACTAGATACGACCTAGATAAAGTGCTCGCGTATGTATACGCATTTTGTGCTGAAATAGCTCGATTACATGTAGCGGTAAGTGTCCAAGACTACAAGTACGCCCCATATATATTCAAAAAAAAAAACGTAAACAATGTCAACCAGTACTTTATACAGCCTAATACTCCTCTCACTCCACCAGAGAATATATGGGTTTATGTGTATAGACAATAGACTCTGTAGTAGGGTTTTACTATAATAACCAATAACAATTGAGAGGTTTTTGTTCTTGATGTGCTTGACCAATGAAAACATGGAGAAATTGAAAGAAAGTATATCACAAATGCTTTCTGTCTTTTGTACTTTTGATATATATTTATAAATATATCCTGATAGCTATTGAATATCAAGAATATGAAGATATTTAACCCGTTTTAATTGGCCTATAACTATGATACTTCCAAAGTAACTCAGTTAAAAAACGTCCTAATGAATAACTATAAATTCACCGATTTTAGAATATAACCATTAACCGTTTGGGACCAATGAATCGATAGGAAAATATCCCTGGAATTAAAAAAAAATCCGCCAGGTTCAGGTTTGACCCGTGTTCAACAGCTCTCTAATTTGGCTTGTCAGCGTGTGCTGAACTGTTGATAACCCCCCAAGACTCCCAAGAGAGGTGATTGACAAAGTATCTGTACTAGTGTACTGTTGTCTGTCGGTGCGTTAAATACCTCGATCGTCTCTATCCAACGTCGCCTGTGGTTCGATTCTATAGCAATTTCTCATTGATGATGTATATTTAAAAATACATAGTGTGTCGAGGATATAAATGGGATTGACCTTCGCTTACATATTTAAGACTCGCCCCGGTGTGAGAAAGTGACCGTATAAACTTTTCGCTCAGATTATACATATAACATTCGTTACTATTTTATAATAGCAATTGTTTTATAATATCAAATCTTACTATAATCTAATATCGTTATATACCACTTTTATATAGTTCAATAGTATATGTATAACTTATATAGTACTATGCCTGTCGATGGTCTTACAGACTACAGCGACAACGAGATCATTCCAGAAACACCGCTCGGGGATATCAAAAACATAAAGAATAGAAGTCAGCCGGTGAGTTATCCATTAGATAGTGGATGGTTCTTTCAAAACTAAGCGTCATCTCCATTCTGTACATTACAGAGTTGTGTCTGGTATAAGGAATATATATATATATATATATATATATATATATATATAGTGTGTGTATATAT